TGAATTCATCATCCCAAACTACATTACCTACAAATAAAAGAAAAAAATTTTGAGGAAAAGGATTTAAAAATAAATATCCTGGTTAAATTTCACAGAACTGCATAGTATCTTAGCTTGTAGGACAACCAAGCTTAAACAACTACTTTTCGAAGCTGGAGAAACTTTGAGGCTGCAGAAAAGGTTGGGGATCAATTTTCTTCAGTAATTTTGCAGCAACAGCTTCTGCATTAAGGTTTGTTCATAAAGGAATGGTGCCTCCTTTCACCAAACAATTACACTCAGTGTTCCTACCAGCTATGCAAGCTTGCAATGTTAAGTTGATGTGCACTGCAAGGGCAAATCTAAGAAAGGAGTGTAGGCACCCCCCCCTTCTCCGCATCAAGGTTAAACAAAATCTGCTGTATCATTAGCTTTGCATTCTCAGCAGTTTGTAATATGTTATTGCTGAGTCATAAGCCTCCTTCTTCATCAATCCCTTTCAAAATTTGTTTACATTACACATCCTCAGTGGTGCACCCCCTACACAAAAAAACCTGGATCTGTCCCTGCAGTGCACTTGGCTGTCAATATACTTGAAAAAAGAAAGCAGAAAGATATAGTGGGTGGCCAGGTTATCATGGAAGCCACATTGTTTTATCAGATTACACCTTAAGCGAAGAACTGTTCAGCTAACATGTTCCAAGCATTCCAGGAATTTTTCACAAACCTTCCAGCAAGGTGGAACTGACCAACTAACATTTTTAAAACTGTTTAAAGTAAATCACATCCATATAATTTCACTTAAGAATTGGGAAATGGCTATCCTAAAAATTTCTTCAGTGGTATTTCAAAAATTGTATGGTTTGTTTGAAAAATGAGGTGAAAGTAGCTGGCTAAAGGTAACAGATATGCCGGCAGTTTTGGCTGACTGCTTACTCTTACTAACAGCTCTGGCAGTGTAGAGTAGACAACACTTTCCTCTTAGAACAATAGAAAAGCTATGGTTGTGTTATTTGCATCAGTGTCTAGCTTCAGCAAATAATCCAAACCTCAGCCTACATAATTCTCATCCATTAATCCCTGTCATTTGTTAGATTACTGAGATCAAGGACTTACATGAAGAATCATCAATCCATTCTACAGACCCAGGGGCAAAGTCTCTGAAATATGCAAACACATCCTCTGTGCTCATCTCGTTCACGCCATGAATAAGAATGGCATCTGATCTGGTCTCACCTTCAAACAAAGAGCCAGTGTCAAGTGTACAACATGATGTATGATTTGCATAATAAATAGACCCTTAGCAATAAATAAAAGCACCTTTCACATGAATGCTGAAAGGAATATATATTAATCGATTTGCTTTTTTTGTGACCAATGTGAGCAAATGACTCCTGATCCTTCAACCATGCTTTAGTCTCCATGCTTATGGCTGTTTTCATGTAGTCACACAGGTTCCCACTATTTCCTTCATAACTGGACCTTTGTCAAGTCTAGACCTTAGGTTAGGATTAAGATACTCTATCAAAAAGCACTCTATTCAAAAGAATACTACCAAGTACTACTGAGATATCAATACATGTTATTAATTCTGGAAAAAGTTCAGACTTTTTTAATGTTAAATACTTCATGGGCAATTGATATGGGGAGAAAGATCCTACTGGTTTGTTGATAAAAAAAAGGACTATGAAGAAACAAGTTTAACCCTTTACACCCTAACATCAGTATGTATATTCTCCATACTGTTCTCTAAACATTTCCTAAGATGCCAACATGGAGAATTTGCCTAACAATCAAGAGCTTCTTTAGTCTGTGATCAACTCCTTTATTCTCCTGACTTAAAGGTTTGATTCAGGGTGATATAGTAAGGAGAAATTAGAGGCCAGTCACTCTTAAGGGTTAAAGGGTCAATTTACCATCAGTAATGGCAGGCAACTCCTTGGGATCAACAGATGGCAGTCTGAAAAAAAACAAAAAAAAAAGCCAATAACAAATAAGCATAAAACTTTCTAAAAAAAAAAAATGAAGTACCGTTAAGTAAGAGGTTACTACATGAAGAACCCAATAAATATAACAAAAAATCTGAAAGTGAAAAGGCACATGCAAGAAGTGGTGCACAGCAGCTGTAATTTATGCTTTTCATACAACTATTTCCCCCTCCCCCCTCTCTCATTCTCTCCCCTCCACTAACCCTACCCCCAAAACAATTGTAAAAAGACAGAATGGACAGGTGGAGAAGGGGAGAGTTTAGTGTATAAAGAGCCTTAATGACCGTAGGAAAGGAGACTTAACTGGTTCACCCCTAGATCTCATCAGAAATTCTCCTTACTCTCTGCCAAACAATTCCTATAATGTTTGTTCTAAGAATTTGATACTGGATAAACTACTAATCCCCTAATTGACATTTTTCTTAATTCTCAGTGCTTGTCTCCTTCAGATACTGTATTGATATTGTAAGGAGAAATCCTGCCTTGGTCACTTATCAGAGTTAAAGGATTAAGAATCATATACTTCTCTGAGTTAATACACCTACACTGTATCTGGGTCATCCTCAGAATGACTGTCATCCTTTTCTGTGTCTTTCTGTTTTGCTTGAAGGCCAAATCTTTTTGCCCTTCTTTCTTTCCTCTCCTGTGCTTCCTGTGAACCAAAGAGAATAACATTTGTATGATGGAAATGAGAGCTGAAAAATTTAAAGTATTGCTACTGACAGTAACTGCAAATAGATAGAAGGTTGGTTGCTTTACTCAGCATATTCCATATAGTTTTCAACTAACTGGTACACATTTTGTTCACCATCATGGTTGAGAGAAGCACCATTTGAGTTAAGAATCTTTCTTAAAAACAAAACACAAAAAAAGACCTTGCCAGGGTGCACACCCAGACATTACAATCTTTGACGCAAGCCTACACAATGGCACTGTCTACCACCCAAAGAGGTGGTTGATAACTCCTGAAGTTTTAATGCAAGCAACAGGAGATTTTGCAGCCTATATCCACCACAAATGACACCAGATGTAAGGAACCTTTCCCCTGTATATCACATAACGTTTACTTTCGTATTATAAATTGTGAGGTGTATGTCTGTATTTGAAGGCATGTGATATATAAATAAAATTACCATTGGGCTCGGAAAAAAGGTCCAAGAAAAATAGAAAAATAGCCAATTTTTTTAAAGAGAATTTTAAGAAATAGATATTCAGTGGCTGGCTTTCAAATCTAGGGAGATCAGAAATGTCGAATGCTAAATGTCACATGGATTAAATTTAACGAATTTCGTTGAAGTAACTTGAGGCCATGGTACTGTAGCTAAATTCTTGGTTGATCAAAACTTCTTGGAGTTTAATAGGAATAAATCCAAACATTTCAAGTTACAAGGTAACAGGAAATCAGTTCCACTTCGACTGAAATTATAATTTAAACACTTTACAACGATATGAGTACCTTCGAAGTTACATCAAATCCTGTCACGAAACACCCAGACTTATTTTCATATCTTCTTTCCTATACGTGCAAAATTCATGGAAAAAAATAATTACATGTTTTTATAGATAATAATTATAGTTAAATTACTAAATATCCTTCATACTTACAAAGTAAAATGGTAAATCTTTCTCCTCTTTATCGCTATCATCAGCAGGAATTTCAACTCTCAACTCCTCAAACTCCATCTTGAATTAAACTTGTACTCAGACTTCCTCTTTAAGTAAAACATGGCATAGGTCCGCTTTGTGTCCAGGAGGAGCTTCTGTGCTTCAGACTTTTGAGAACTGACTTGAAGTTGAAGAGGGAACAAAGAAGAAAATAGAATAAAGTCTAGAATAAAAGAAGAAGTTTAAAAGGTTGTTTTAAATTATTTAGAAGAGGTCTTAGAAAGGATCACAAGAAAGGCCTCGCAAGAGAAGTCATCAGAATTATCGGGCTCTTACGTAATCAATGCTATCCTTGGTTGCTCAGTCGGGAAGTCAAGCGCTTTTGTCCAGTATGGTTCGGATGGTAAGCTGCATCACGAGAACCTCTCGAGAGGCTACGTATGGCAACGTAATAAAAGCGTGACAGCTCCTTGCTACAATATAAACCATATCCTAGCAAGGAAACCTTCCAATTGGTTTATTTAAAAAGAAAACTTCAAATGCGGCAGAGCTAGTCGTATAAGCCACTTCGGAAGTTCAAAGTATATCAGGTCAGTTTCGAGCCACATCATGATCAACCTAGAGAAGAGCTGCGCATGTTGACAGACGGTTACGGAGTATATAGGGCTGGGGTCTTAATACAGAAACGTATAAGGTACGTAATAGATCTTTAAACCACTGATGCGCGCTTTGACAAGGTAAAAGACTTTTCTTTCTCGTATTTTCATCAAGATAAGTCGAATTTCAGGATTTATTTTGTAAAAGAGAAATTTATTACAGAAAAACGACGATATTTTGGTTTTTCTCTCCTGGAAATACAGGGATTGAGAAAGATGAGTTAGACTTTTCACAATATCTAAATGTAAATGCTTGATGTAAGGTGTGTAAACTGCGAGTGAATAGTACAGATTCGAAGCCTCAGTACTTTAAGTATTGAGAGTATGGTCGAACCTGCATTAAGCGGCACCGTATTAAGCGTTCACCATGTATTAATCGGTTCGGTTGTAATAGTCCCGAACTTTTCTACTTAATTAACTTTATCATTATGCGGTCGTGGTTACCCTTAACTGAGACCCAACGGCTTATTTGTATTGTTTTCCACCTGAATTGAACGGTCATTTAGAGTGGAACCACACAAATAAAACTAAGAATAATATCTCAGGTCAATATATTCCGTGTTTATCTCCCGAAATTCAATGTTAGTAGTAAGTTTGAGCGAGTGTTTGTACATTAAGTGGTTAATTATGGAATGAAAAGACTTTTTTTTTTTTCAAACAACCCAATTCTGTGAAACCTGTATTAAGCGTTCAACCTGAATTTAGCGGTCGCCCCATCACTCCTCGCGGGTGAACGCTGAATACATGTTCGACTGTATCATGTGAAGTACCGTTTTTCATTCACTTGCACTGAGTGCTTGAATTACAAAATTCACGTCTTCTTGTCGTTTGATAAGAAGGCTGATCTCTAAACTAATCATAACTTGGTTATACCGGGGCGTTTTCTCACGCACCAGGCAACATTGAGATGGGAGAGAGGGAGAGATAAATGAGAGATATAAAAAGTTAAAAAAAGTACTAGAGCGTGCCAAGAGTTTTGTCACAAATTGAAGTATATAAGTGCTTTACTCGAATTGAGTAATTTTTGTTAAGTCTAAGATGAGAACATGGATACAGAAAACGTGTTTCCTCGGATGTTAGTCTTACATCTCATGCCTAGGTATAGCTAGCGTGGCAGACGTTACCGATGTAGGTCACATCCACACGCCGCCCGTAATCCTTCTTAATCACGAATCTCAATTTAACGCTGCACTCTGGATACTTGCACTCAGCCCCTCCCCTGAAAAACACGGACGAGTGCATCTTACGCGAGTTTTCCGATCTCACGTGATTATTCTTGAAACGCAAACTGCACCATGGGTTGCTTTCCTTCACTTTGTTAAGGAAAATGCGGGTCCAGTCTCCGCTCAGTAGACGGCCACCGCTTGGAAATGACTTAATTGGCATCTTGGCCCAATCTTCCTCTGTCAGCTTGAATCTCGCAGTCGTGCCGTCTATGTTCACTCGAAAGAACGTTTCTTGTAAGTCCTCATCATCTTTGTCTTCTTCAGAAAGATCAGATTCCTAAATGAAAGAAACATAATTTGACATTGGCATTACTCTAATAGTTGTGGGAAAAAAAACCTTATGCAAACTGCACTTACGACCAAGATCTTTCTGCGTTTTCGCTTGTCGACGAGGGATCATGAAATGCAGACCCAAGAGGGGAGGGGAAAATCGTGTCAAAGAAGTTTAAAGACTTGTGTGTAGCTGCACAATAAAGGCTGACCTTCTTATGGGAATTTCACATGAAAACTTTGCCAAAAAGAGCACAACATAGACTTAATTAGTGAGTTGAAAACTAAAGCCAGTGATATTCAGGGTTAAAGAGCGCAATTATAAAATGCACTATTATACAAATACAGTTTGTATTACGTTTTCCAGAGGCCTTTTTATCGGTGATGGCCATTTCTGATTTCCTACTGCAAAATGGTTGGATGTTTTCTTTGTCTCCTCGACCTGATTGTGAATTAAAATAAAAAAAAAATTAAAATCTTGCAGCTCGTTATTTTTAATATGGTGGCCGAAGACTATCTTATCACTCTGTAAACTGATTCTCAAAGAGGACCGGTGTTACTGAACCACGTCCTGCATCTCATCATCCAGTCCCGCACCCACCTGTTTGCTATGGAGACAGCAGAAAGTGTGGCTGAATCTTGCCCTCCCTTAGCTTTGATCGCACCTTGTGAAGTGACTGATTTGATGCATTTTTGTCTTCCATCATAAATTAATGCGCATTGCTTGAATTGCGAGTAATATTGGTCAACAGTTCAGTTGATTGACAGCATAAGAAGCATGACACAATTTAGCTGATTAAAAGTCAAACTCGATCGCGGGATAACGCTTCAAATTGAAGACGATAAAAACTTGTCAACGCCTGATGCTGAATTTAAAACGTTTTCCAATGAGCGTGTCTACAGTTGATACTTAAATCAATCCTACCTCTCTCTTTTGAGGAAGCATGATGACCGATGTTCGTGTGTTTTGTATGCCAGGGGTTGTTGGAGGAGACGTCGTTTGTGGTTGGCTCGCTACAACGCAGTGACAACGAGGGCAAGTCCTGGTGAATCCTCTCTCATTGACAGTCGTTTGTTGAGAATTAAAGGGAAGATCCTTGGATCGAATCCTTCCATCGGAGCTTGTTTGGTAAATGAAATTGCTCCCTCCTTCACTGCCTTTCTCGAACACCTGGCTGGCTAATTCTCCTTGGAACGTAGCGTGGTAGAATGGCGCCCCTCCTTGCAACCTAATAGTTTTTTGAGACGAAGTACCAGCTTGGCTGCATGTCTGATTAAGTGGATAGCTTAGTATCGGCTGAGTGAACTGCGAGTTTTCTCTGTGTGTCACCTGATGAAAATTTCTTTCCTCAACATCGTAATTTATTCGTTTGAGATCAGCCCTGGTAGCATGTGTCACCTCGGGACTTTCCGTTTCACCAGATTGAATGCCGTTCCGATCCTTTTTCCCTTTTTCATAAGTCGTATGAGAAGACATCATTCCATTTGGATCTTTCTCCCAAGGATTACCCAAATGATAGCAGGAATTTCTATCCCCAGAGAAGTCCATAGCGTTAGTTGGAATACCCTTGGGATTCGTTCCCCTCGGATCGACTGAATGGCGATCGGGAATCATATTGGTCGAGGTTGTTGGATGAGAATGAAAGGAATGGCTAACAGGTGACCGTATGGTGATGTCCACATCGTAAGATGGGATACCCGTAAGATTTGTTTCCCTTGGATCAGCTATGGGGTTGTATGAATTAATTTCCGTAGAATCATTTGGAAGAGACTGAACTAAATTGTTTACTGGTAAAAGTAAGTCCACTGCATACGGTTGCATCCCATTTTGAATATCCCTCGGGTTTAACGTGACTTCCCAGGGATTACTATTAGTAGAACTTGAACATGACGTTTGGTTCGTAGCCGTGCTTCTGTAAGGCTCTGGTCCACGAAATCTTCTGCCACTTTTGCCACTATCCAAGTAGCTTGGTTCTTCTAATCGACATGATTGTACTGCATTTCCAAAATTGCCTCCAGAAGTTTGCATTTCATCTTGAATTTCCGCTCCATATAAGGAAGAAGACTCGTTTAGGTTACTAATTTGATGAGCCGTTGTTGCATTTGAGTAAAATTCCATTTCAGTGATGATTTAACTCGACATCTATCGGCGGAAACGAGTTGGGTTTAAATGTTCATCTGCTTAGGTAACTAACCGCGTGACCGTCTTCGTCAAACAATTTCGGTAGAATGTCTGCAGTTTGAATTTCCTGTTTTTGTCATTATAACGTAAATGTAGCGTGAAGGAAAGTTTTCAGCTGAACTAATCCTCGATAGTGTCAGCCTTTTTCAAAAAGTGGAGCCAGATGAAGTCTAAAACAGAAACAAAGAGGAAACCCAAGTCAGGGCTGGTTCATGAAAAGCCGCCTAGGTGCAATCAGTGCGCCAGACCTAATTTGATAAAGTTAGACTTTGGAACGACATTGAATTCAAATCAAATTTCCATAAGTTCAAGTTTTCAAGGTCGACTGAGTAAAAATACTTATCAAAATAGAAATAGAAGCAAACAATGCAGTGAAGCATGTAAATGATCAAATATAAATAGACAGTAATGGGAAAACATTCAGTGCCTGGAATGCGGCCAACCCAGTGTCTTTCTCACAATGGACTTTTGTCTAGCTGTAGCCAACAATCCCTGAACAGAGACGACTTTGTCGTGTTTTTACGTTTAGCCAACTCGAATAATACTTCATTGGAAACTAATTAGATTTACACGTATGGAGCATCGGCGTAAATAGGCTAAAAAGCTTTTTTCAAGATTACAACAACCGTTGATTAATTTTTTAAAGATCTTTTTTAGGTAAATGTGGCATAAATTAATCTCCGAAATTAGCTCTTCACTCTTCACACTTGTGCCGACAATATCAACACGCTCTCCACTAAAAAAGTAGAGGAGGCGCTATTTTGATATGGAACTGAATTCTCAATTTACAAAGGAATATATAACAGCTGGAAAGGAGAATGCCAGTTGAGAACTCTGAGGCTATGGCGATTACAGGATTTGCGTTCACATCCCTGAGCTTCCGCTTGGCTTCACTGCGCGGGAAAATGAGCAACCTCTCTACCATACTAACGTTTGATCGCCAGCCGGAAAGCACTCGAAGAAAGTCCTAGGAAGTGTACACCGCCGAAGCCTTGAAACCCCGACCCTGTCTGACACAAGATCTTTTCATTTCTTCACTCAATCTTAAACAAACATATTCAGGGAGAATACTGAAATGCGATCAACATTATGCATCGCCAAAGCCTGCATCTTTTTCAAGGCTTTCAGTTTGGAAAGGTCCCCTGTTCAAGAGGTTGTATAGTAAAATTGTATACCTTTTTTAACAGTCGAGACCCACAAAATCTTCCACTTTTTGAGAAGTTTGCCTGTCCAAATAATAAAAAAGCTAAAAATAGCGAGACTAGAAGATTCTGAGTCAAAACAAAAACCCAAAAGTTTAAAGAGCGCCACTGGGATAACTTCCGGTTTTTCAATCCAGGTTATCCAATATCATTGCCGCCAGAAGGTTTCATTGATTACTGAGATACAATTGTGATTCGTACTCTCGAGTTACTAATTTTAGCCCATGTGATTAACCTGAATTAAAATTAGCACCTTATATAAATACGAATTTGCATAAAATACCACGAGCTAAGAGAGTGGTTGTTTTGAAGTAGTTTTTGTCTTTTTTCTGTTAAACAACCAGGCTCGTGACTAAACCTGTCACGGCGAACATGTAAAGACTTCGCCATTAGTGGCTATTAAATTGTATTTACCGATAGGTCATGGCATGGTACGAATGGAAGCATGCACGAACCTCGTGATTTCAGCCGATTTCGTTAAATGCTAGAACCGCGTAAATGGTTCAACCTGTTATATTGCTGTGTGAAAACATGTAAACGATTCCTGGTTGCTGTACAGACCATCTGATTCTTAGTATTTATAATCGTGTTCATGAATTTACCTACGATAAGTGAAGTTTCCACGAGTGTGTAGCGAGCAGTCTGGAACTGCGTCAAAATCATCAAACTGTGCAAAGATAGACTGATCGCATCAGCTGATGACCATGTGCAATCAAATATAAATCCTTCCTTCCCTAACAGCACCCAAAAAAGTTCAACATCCTAGCTTCACCCAGATCTTACCCAAATAATGTCAGTACTTTTTAGCTGATTCCATATGAGGAGGAAGGAGGAGTTATAATGAATGTGGAAGCCTGATACGTCTACAAAACAAACTGATAATTTAAATGTAGTCGCCGTAAAGTCTAGGGTCTTGTGAAGGAAGATGGGTCAAGATCTAGAAGGCGACACTTTTTGCACATGCTCACGTGACACTGCTGCACAGCACGAAATTTACACGTGCGCGGCACTCATCGTTCGCGCTTCACTCGTCTAAAAGCTAATCCTAAA